CTGTTACGTTGGACGAAGTTGGACTCTTTTCTGGTTCCTTCTGGCAATGGGGCTGATCATGGAGGCCGCATAGCATTGTTCCTCAACAGAAGCTGATTGTTCTTCTCAGCAAGCAGTAAGCAAGATATCAAATCCTCATAGGTGTTATGATTCATGGCACGGTATTGTTGTTGGAGAACAACATTGGGAGTGCCAAAAGTAGAGAATGTTAATTTTCTCTAGCATATCCTTATCAGTGACCTCCTCGCCACATAGTTTTATGAGTGCAACTATCCGAAAGAGTTCGGAATTGAATTCTTCGACGGATTTGAAATCTTCGAACCGTAGGTTCTTCCAGTCGAACTTGGCTTGGGGCAGTATGACCGTTTTCTGATGGTCATATCGCTTTTTCAGTGCCACCCAAAGTTCGAGTGGATCCTCAAGAGTGAGGTATTGTTGCTTGAGAGACTCAGCGAGGTGATGGCGGATAATAAATATCACCGAGTACCGTTCTGTTTGAGTCGCGGTGTTGGGATCTTTGATGCATTCACCCAGACTTTTTGAGTTGAGGTAGATCTTGGTGTCAAGGGCCCATTTGAGGTAGTTATCTCCGGAGACAGTGAGTGCCTCATATTCGACCTTCTGAATGTTTGACATCTGAAACATATAATAATTTATGTTAAATAATCAATAGTATGAGACTATGGTCATTGGAATAAGGGATTTAAGGTATTCTTGGGAAAACTTTCCATTTCAAGAAACTTGCTATTTTAGGAAACTTGCTATATAAGGGAACTCTAAAATCGAACCTTAGGGTTTATAACCTAGCCGGTTTACTAGGGTTTCCAAATTTAGCTCTAATAGATAAACGTTGGTTTAGCTCTTAACCATTTTTTAAAAAAAAAAAATCTAGAGATTGATTTTGGAAACTAATTTAAAATTAACCGATTAAGCTTAAACCGATCGGATTGATCGATTAAACAACAAAACCGGTTAAATTAGATTTAATTTTGGAAACCGGTTATTAGGGTTATTAATCGGTTAAGGGATTAAACTAAACGGATTTGGTAGGGTTTAATTTTTTTTATTAGGAAAAACCGATCGGTTTAAACTTAAACCCTATCGATTTAGGATTAGAATTTATCGGTTTATAAACGGTTTAGGTGGATCGATCGGTATAGGGTTTTATCAGAGGTGCACCGATCGGTTTAGGATTTGAACAAAGCATTAGGGTTTAGGTTTTATATGATAAAGCCGATTAGGAAAAATAAAACCAATTAGGATTTTGACAAGAAGAAAGAGGATCGGTTTGGTTATGGTTTTAAAAACGGAAAAGACGATGAAGAATCATGAAAAGAACCGATCCATATTAGGGTTTTCAAAAAAAAAACCAAAACTTTGATTAGGATCTATAGTTTTAGATAATACCTTTTCGCCAAATAGATTTCTGACTAGCTTATGATCTGGGAGCTAAAGACCACAGATATCTACTGGAAACTCTTGAGAATGATGGCCAGAAAGGAGGACGAACAGCTGCTACATTGGAGGAACCACCGCTTGGAAAGAATCACCCGCTAAGGTGGGACAGCGCCGATTGTTTTGAGTCGTGAGGGCGCGTCTGGTGTCGGATTGAGGAGCGGTTTTCACCACTAGATTCTTCTCTTCCAGGGCTTCAAAATGATATGTAGATCGCCTTCTAACTCCTTGTATTTTGAGAGATATGATCGTTTGAAGTTGAGCTTTGTGCTGATAACGTATTAAGGGAAAAACTCTGATCTTATTATTTCCATAAGCAGTGTATATATACATTACATAACTAATGTATCAGAAACCCTAATGGGCCATGAGACGTTAACCTGATGGTTAATGGGCCGGTTACTAGAAGTCCATTTGTTTATAACAATTTACAAATTTTCTAACCAATAAAACTTGATTTTAGAATACTTTTTAAAATCCATGTTTGAATAAAATAAGATTTATCATTTTAATACAAATCAATCTATACACCCCTCCTAAAAACTTATCAAAACTTCAATCATTCTAAATCTTTTCAAATATTATATTGAATCCTTTAATTAAACATTTATATTTAAGTCAAGCTAGTCAGCAAAATTCGTTTAAGGAAATTCAGACTTAAAAGTAAAATTGTTATATTAATATTAACCATGAAACAAACTTTAAAAGCTACTGTTTTCAATATCTATTTTAGGGCTCTTTGAGATCACTAAAACAATTGGAGTTTTCTAATTAATATATGTCTTACAGTATATAACTTGTAACTCTACCTATTACATTCTTTTTCTTAATATTATGTATATTTCTTGAGTATAACAATGACGATTACAAACTCAGAACATGTAGCTTAGTGGTTTGTGACACATCCGGGTTCAAAACCACATAATGCTTATGGTTAGCAAAAGTAAAATCACAAAATTCCAATACCTAACTAGCTAATATCCACTTTTAAAATCTTTGAACCTAATTAGCTTTATATCACAATCATGATATAGATCATAGCATCAAAACTAAACTTTGATCACCGATCTTCCACTCTAACAAAGATTTTTGATAAAGCATAATTTGAAATATATACACCTCTCAAACCAGATTTGAATCTTATAAAATACCCAATATAAAAACCTAGATTAACTCATGGCATAAGCAAGATTTGTTATATATAAACGATGGGTTAAGGCAAATAATAGATGATGACAGAAGCATAGAGAGCACAAAGGAGTATGATGCAAAGTAGCTGCTCTGAATTGCATCTCATCATCTGTGCTCTCTATCTTCTGTCAACACAATCAACGCCTCCCAAACCTCTAAATGTCGACTTTTCATTTTTTACTACAAAAGTATTGCATACTACAAAAGAAAAAAACCGAAAAGCACCTCTAATGGATATCAAGATCTTGGTAAACCGAAAAAATACCAAATTTGATGATTTTTATATATAGGAGAACTATATGATAGATGTATGTATGTGTGTAGAGAAGTACCAAAAGGGTTTGTTGAAGAGATGATGATGAGGAAGATTTCCTGAAGCCACTATTTATAGACACACATAGTGCAGCGAGATGATTTATCTTCTCCAGTTGTATTGTTCTTTTTGTTTCAACAAGTTTGGAATAATATTGTCAACAAAAGAAAAATTATTCTTAGTCTTATTTTTATTTATTTATTTGGAGCTATCTACCTATTTTGCATGATTGATTTACCTCTTTGGGATAAAACAAAGTCAAATCTACATGTAAAGAGATATCATGTATACAAGATTTCCTTATATCAAATGTGACGTAACACTCACATAATTATCCACTGATGGAAATTAATATCAAATGGCAGGGAACGGTCAAATGAAATGAAAACAAAGGAATTAATTCTTCTTTAACAACTGTCACCAGAATGAGTTAAAACACGAGTTTAGAATCTAACTCCCACACAACAAAATTTTAATAGCCTTAATAAGAAACAGCAAATAAGATGATTTTTAAGGCCAACCATTTGATTAATAATTTTGAAAAAAAACATAATAGTTTTTTTGTTTTTTTTTTTGTTTTGCTAAAAATCAAAACATAATAGTTGCTAGACGTTCTTTGCCAAGTCCTTTTTGGGAGTTAGGGCTACATAGAATAATTGTTTCGACAATATAGGCAACAGACAAAACGTATTAAACATTATCGATGTCAATTTAATTAGTGTGTAAGTTATATGTTAAGAATGCACTTATACATATTACTATAAGTTATAATTGATTACTTTCGTTTTTGAAATTAAAATATAGAAGTTGTAAGTTGTAACATATGTTGAATTGTGGAGTCTAATCTTACGGATCGGTCTGTTGTGCTATAAGACATTCGGCCAGCACACTGATCGATTTGATCGGTTCGACAAGGTTGGAGCCTACTGTATAAATTATTAGTTAAGAAAGCTTATTAAGGATATTTTCAAATATAAATAAAGATTTACAAATTATACAAAAAATTGTGGAAACAAAAACTGCATTATGGGAAGAATTACAACAGGAAGAATTGATTCTGACAATTCAAATCAGAAATTATCCCACAATATCATCATAATATACGAGATAATAGTGTTATATAGATGGGTATTGGAAAGAGACGGATAAAGTTTCAAGACGAGATTGGTATTATTTCAAAGATGGCAAGGAAAAAAATAATAGGTGCGAGAAATGTACGACAAAGTTTAACTCCATTACACGCTGAATTAAAAACTCTCATTTGGATCATTCTTTGTATGCTTGTGAATCAGAATATGGAAGTAACTTTCGCAATAGACTGTTTTGAACTGGTGAAGATGGTTTTGACATTTGAGGAATGGCCAACATTTGATTTACATCTGGAGGAGTTTGTAAAGAGTAAGGAAGCTTTCAATTTTTTCTCGATTTCACATATTCCACGCGCGAAAAATATGAAGGTGGATATTTCAGCACGGAGTGCTCGGATCTACCCTCATAATATCATATATGTAAATTTGGTATTTTCGGTTTGAATTACTGAACCGTTCTAGATATAGTAAAACTTCTATAAATTAATAATGTAAGGAACATAATATTTTATTAATTTATCGTGATAATTATTAATTTATAGAGAATATTTATTTTTCGCCCATCCTCTTCTAAAAATTTCTTTTAAATGATGTTATATTTAAGAATTTAAACTCATATACTTATAAAATGATATGCATAAACTTAAGATTATGATAACTAGTCATATCAATCCTAATAAAATAGTTATTTGTGGACTAAATTATCTATGTAAGAATATAAATGTTCATTAGTACAAAATTTATAAATAAAATATGGTTATTATCTTTAATGTTGATGCTGAAATTGAAGACAATGCTATAATAAATTTTGAAACAGTTACGCATAAAAAAATCAATTATCACATCTAACATTTTTCACAAATTTTAAATGGAGATAAACAAATAACATTAAAAGCTATTGATGTAAATAAGTAAAGAGATGATTTTCAATAAAACTTTAAACTTAAATAAAAACAAAAAAAATGAATTATATTTAATTATATTATATATTACCTATATATATACATAAAATTTAAAATTATTAATTTATATTTATATTGAGACCATATATTTATATAGGGGTTTAAAAAAATTATTATTTTATTATCTTATCGAATTTGATTAATTTTTACACTGGTCCGACTCAAAATCAAAAAAAATATTAATTTATAATAATTATTAATTTATCGAGTATTAATTTATAGAGGTTTTACTGTATTCTAAGTTGTTGACAAAAAAAGAGGTATATTTTTGATTTTTGTAGGGCTTTTTCTATATATTTCTATTTTTCTATACTTCTTCTAAATAAAATTGTGATTATTTCTATTGTTGTAGAATAACAGACAAAAAATAAAAGACTTTCTTCTAAGAGTTTCGAGTTCTACTATAGTGAAATCAACAATGGCGGAAACTGGACGTAGCTTTTATGTTGAAAGTGAATCACTATAATTTTTTTTTGCCTTTAATTTTTTCAGCAGGTGAAATTTATGGTTCAACTCCAATTGGTGAATATATCTAATCCGATAATCTCTGGCATAAAGATTATCTCTAAAACTCTTTTAATTCATAGAATATTAAAGAGTGATTACTAAATTTCTTCTGCGAAAAAT